GGTAAAGGTTGTCAATCTTTTTTTCTTTTCAAAGAACCAGCTCTTAGTTTCATTGATCTTCTCTAGTCTCTGTTTACCTCTATTTCATTTATTTCTGCTCTAATCTTTGTTATTTCCTTCCTTCTATTAACTTTGGGCTTTCTTTACTCTTCTTTTTCTAGTTCCTTGAGATATAAAATTAGGTTGCTTATTTAAGTCTTCTCTCAGTTTTTGAGGTAGGCATTTATTACTATAAATTTCCCTCTGAGAACTGCTTTTGCTGCATCCCACAAATTTTGGTATGTTATATTTCTATTTTCATTTGTCTCAAGGTATTTTTTTATTTCTCTTTTGATTTCTTCTTTGACCCATTGGTTGTTCAGTGGCATGTTGATTAATCTAAACACATTTGTAAATTTTCCAGTTTTCTTCATGTAATTAACTTCTAGTTTCATGCCATTATGGTTGAAAGAGATGCTTGATATGATTTCAATCCTCTTGAATTTACTAAGACTTGTTTTGTGGCCTAACATATGATCTATCCTCAAAAATGTTTCATGTGCACTTGAGAAGAATCTGTATTCTGTTGCTTTTGGATGGAATGTTCTATATATATCTGTTAAATCCATCTAGTCTAATGTGTCATTAAAGGCTGATGTTTCCTTATTGATTTTCTGTCTGGATGATCTATCTATTGATGTAAGTAGGGTATTAAAATTTCCTACTATTATTGTATTGCTGTCTTTCTCCCTTTAGGTCTGTTAATATTTGCTTTATATATTTTGGTGCTCCTATGTTGGGTACATAAATATTTACAAATGTTGTATCCTCTTGTTGGATTAACCCTTTTATCATTATACAACACCCATCTTTGTCTCTTATTACAGTCTTTGTTTTAAAGTCTATTTTGTCTGATATAAGTATAGCTACTCCAGCTTCTTTTGGTTTTGATTTGCATGGAATATCTTTTTCTATCCCTTCACTTTCACTCTGTGTGTGTCCTTACAGCTAAAGTGAGTCTCTTGTAGGCAGCATATAGGTGGGTCTATTTTTTTTTTAATCCACTAAGCCACTCTATGTCTTTTGATTAGAGAATTCCATCCATTGACATTTAAAGTAATTATTGATAGGTATGTAGTCATTGCCATTTTTTGAATTGTTTACTGGCTGTTTTAGTAGTTCCTCTCCACTACTACTCTCCTACCACTTTAAATTAGAACCTGAACTATTGGCTGTTTTAAAGCTCTCTGCCTGTTCCTTCCGCCTGAAATGTCCCTCCTCTCCATTTCTGCCTATATAAATCCCTTCATTCTCCAAGACCAGTAAAGACCCATTTCCCTATAGAACATTTCCATGGCTTCCTAGGCAGATGCAATCTATCTTGTAAACTCCTATAACATTTTATCTATATAGCTCTCATGAATTTATCATATTTAGACATTGAATTATAGTTCATTTTGTATATGTCTTACAGATTTTTCTAGAATATGAACTTTTTAAAGCCAGAGACTGTTGTTCTATTCATTATGGGTGCCCCATATCATGTCACATAGAGGTTCTTAAGCTAGGATCCACAGAACTCAAGAGTCCATCTATAGAATTCAGGGGTTCTGTGAACTTGGATGGGAAAAATTCTTTTTTGCTAACCTCTAACTGAAAATTTTCATTTCCTTAAATTATGGATACAGGCAACAAACCATAAAATATTCATAGTTATGTGCAACATTGTAACCAATAGGATCACAATATTTTTATCACATTGTACTTGTTGAAGATATCTCAAAATATCTTTTATACTTGTCACTACTTCAAAATTATGATATTTTTAGTCCTTCCATTAGATCTTATTGTTTAATGCATTAGTAAAGTAGCACTTTCTACCATATCACAAAATAAAAAAAGAAGAAAGGACCTGTATACTTCACAGACTACCAAAGGGATTCATGGCAAAAAAAAAAAAAAAAGATAAGTGAGTAAGCAGCCCTCAGTTATAATATAGCACTTTGCAACATAAGAAGAAAAATTTGTAGAAAAATAATCACAGTACTATGTAGTTCTTGATTAGGGCTATTAAAAAATATATACCATGAACTATAGAATATTGTACAAGCATATTGTTCATAAAAATTCATAGTCTTGGCATTGGAAAAAGACCAGTTCTCTGTCCTCTACAATAGCCCTATTAAAATGGCAATTAAGATTGCTGCATACCTCCAAGGACAATTTGTTATCTTCTAAAGAAGATTATTTGATACACGGACAGCTCCAACTGTTAGATAGTTGGTCTTGTTATAAATAATAATCTAGTTCCTTGTAACTTCTTGTCACTCATCTGCATTCTATCCCCAGGGAGCTGGATACAATAAATCCCGTTCCTCCTCCATATGAATTTAATCTTTAAAGACAACCATCACATCATCCTTGATCTTCTTTTCTCTGGGGTTAATATTACTAGTTCCTTCAACCATTCCTCTTATTATATAATTCTGTGCCTGTTATCATGTCAATTGCTCTCCTCTGAGAATATCCCAATGCTTTTGAGTCTCTCTTAAAGTGTGGTAATTCTCAACTCAACACAATACCTCAGATGCATTTTATTGAGCAGGGAGTTCAGTGGGACTACCACCTCTTGAATGCTACATACCATAATTCTAGTAATTCTGACTGAGATAGCATTGGTAGTTTTTTGGCAATATTCCCCATGCTGACCCCATTGCACTTTCTGTCCCCTAAAACTCATAAGCTTTTTTTTATTCATGTGTCTGCTCTTTGAATTTCCTTCAGTAATTTCTTGTGCAACTAGGAGTTTTGGAAACAACCTCTGGATTGACAACAGCATCTATTAAATTTTATCTTGATGGGTTAGTTTTAGGTTCATATTTTCAGTTTATAAAAACCTTTTGAGTTTTGTTTCTTTTATACATTACATTCGCTGTTCCTCCCAGATTTGTGGAATCTGTAAGTTTGATGAGCATGCTTTTTATCACTTCATATTTGTACCTAATATATTATGTACATTAATATACACTAAGAATGCCTGAATTTCTGATGCCTAAAATATATGTACTGTAGAAAATAATCAAAGTCCTGTAAAGTACCTAAAAAACATTCTTCAATAGTAGGAATATAGTAATAAAGGATGCTTGAAGGAGAGGTCTCGTCTTGCAAGTGCCTCTCTTGTATCAAATCTATAACACACACTAATGAAGAGGAACAATAGAAAACTAACCATTACATGCGAGGGAAAAAGGACTTTAAATTCCCTAGGAGTCCAGACCAAAAAAAGAAAATCACAAATCAATTTCTTTACTTTTACACTAAAGACCCCTCTCAAGTATTTTCAAAACCACTTTCTTATAGAACTAAAACCATCTTTTTGATGAATCACAATTAAAAGTAATCTAGCAATCTCACTTATTCAGAGATTACTGACCTAGCAGCCTCAGTTATTCTAGAACATAACCAAGAATGAGTAAAATAAAGTCTCTAAACAGCCAGAAGAGTCAGCACTAAAGATCATGTATATTACCCAGAATCTCTCAACAACTCAACCAGAAATATTTATTCATATTTGAAATATAGTCCAGAATGTCATGATCATCTAATTTCATAATTTATAGACGAATGGAAGGAACAAATTAGAAATTATTCACAACCAAGCAAGAAGTAACAGCCTGCAACCTGATATTAAAGGAGGAGAAACCAACACACACACACACACACACACACACACACACACATGCACCTGCCAAAAAAGTTATCTATAGCAAGCAGACACAAGAACTCCAAGGCTTCATAATTGCAGAGAAATAACCATAGAGCCAAATAGTCCTAATTTTCTCAGTGTTCTCTGGGGGCATCATTACATTTATAGCATAGTAAAATGACTGACATTTATAATATGATAATCATCACAATACCTTAAATTTAGGTAGTCTACTGTCCATAAGAGACTTTTACATTCATTATTATAGTTAATTCTCAAAATGTTTGACTTACCAAGTCAGGTATTAGTACCACAGCAAATTTTAAATTTTGTGGCTCAGGGAGATTGAAGAACGTACCCAGGGTCACACAATTGTTAGATAGGCACTGGAGTTCATAGTCTACTGCATCATGACTCTGAGTCATTGAAAAATATTTACATTTTGTGCCATATAATCTGGTCAGCAAGATGGGGAAGCATGTAATACATTTTAGAAACTTCCACAAAAATTGCTGATGTGGTGGACACATCCACAAAAGTTAATCTGAAACTTTCACAAAAATTAATTTGAAACTTTTACATTTTTGAGCCCTTAAAGGAATAAAATTAAGTTACATGAAAAATTCCCTTATGTCAAATTCTCATTTCCCTATAGTGCCACAGAGGTCTAGATTTAACTTAAAATGTTAGTAATAAATCCAGAACCATTAATTACTCTACATTTTAAAATCTAAAATCTGTACATTGAAAAATGAAAGAATGTACATAGTATAGTAATGACTTAGACTTGATTTATTTAATTTAAAAATATTATTAGACAGTCTTCTTTCATCTGTTGTTTAGGAACTAGGTGAACCTAAGTGGACTCTTGTGGAGATGTTGCAGTAGATGTCACGAGTCAAAGTACTTCCCCTTTGAACATTTAGCTTTAACAATGTTAGAAACCCTCAATTGTCAATTCTACAACATTTGGAGGTAAAATAATAATATTTATAAATTTATAATATTTATAAAAATGAGGAGAAATAAATTAGTTGGGTTTTATTTATTTATTTGGCTTTTTAAACAGTTTATAGTTTCATAATGAAACATTATACATCAAAAGGAAGTAAAAGAGAAAAAATGAAAAATAAAGTTGCAGCTGGGAAAATTCCCATACTACCTTTTTCCAGGGCAAAGGCTTACAGTCAGTTTAAAACCTTGATTTGTTATCATAAGAACCAAATAAAATGCACAAAGTTTTAGAAAAATGAAGCTATCTGCTTAACACTCCTAATGGATCACAATCTGCCATCACCATGGTAACCTGTGAATAACTTTTTCCTAGCTAGTGCCAATTATGCACTTCTCTGGCCCTTGAAATCCCACTCATTTTTTTTTTAAGGCCTGGAATCTTTAAAAGAATAAAGCCCAATAGTTAAGTCCACACATACCCTCTTGTTCAGTCCGAGTCATTTCCTCAAGCTTCTTCTGTTTCAGTGTGTCCACCACATCGGCAAGGCTCCCTTTGCGGCGTTCTGGGGTTCCAAAAGTAACACTGGTCATTATCTCGCGGTCCCGACTCCCTTCGTCAGGCTTATGTGGTGAGGTAGAGGTATTTCGGAAGGAATATAGGGAACATAACTTATTATTCTCTGACTCCTAGAAAAACAAAATAAAATAAAACCATTAGAATATTTATCTCTTTGCATATCTTTGGAGAAAAATCCCAAACTCAGAATGACAGTATGTGATGTTTAGATACACAAAATATATTAACTATATCTGCTTAAAAAATACTAAACATGAAAGAAGCAATTATCAAAGGAACTAACCTGAAATTGTAGATTCAGACTGTTTATTGTTTTTAATTAGAAAGGAGTCTAAGTGGTTCAAAAGCTTAATTTTAAAACGGACATTTCAACTTCTTACTCATTTACACCCTTCATTTAAAACAATTCAGGTTCAGTTACTAATTATTAGGATTGATAGTTTTTCTTTTAATGGCACTTTTATTAGCAATGCTCTTCCCAATGCCTAAAAAATATGTACATCACAAAAACATTATTGTTTAATTTAGAACCAGTAGAGAAATTAGCTTCAATATCTAATGTTAATTGCTCACCAGAAAATATATAAAATATCTAAATAAGTGCCCAAAAGTTAGCCAATCTGAATATTTTTGTGTGCTGGGGTTTGGGGAGAATCATTTTTTTCTAGCTACACATCTGTCAAAAGGTACAGAAACCTCTTTCTAATCCTTACCCTTACCACTGATACTTCAGCACACAATCACACACATTTTTCACGGGGCACATAAAAATGGTTTGTTTTTATGTTTGCTTTTTTTTTTTTTAACAAAAGGACAAGTTTATTACAGAAACATTTGCACAAGAATTACTTCACAGTACACAGAAGTCAGCTAACTGGTAAGAGGGTTAGATCCATGAGCAAGGAAGAAAAGCAAATCTTAGATTGAAAATAATAAACACCAAAAATTTATAGAAAGAAATTGTTTTTGTATCTCTCTAAATCAGAACAGAGAGTCAGAAGCAACTATTATTTGGCAATAACTCATCAGCAGTCTTCCATTCACCTTATCTGTCTGTGCATGAGTATTCTCTCTCCCAATAAAAAAGTTGTGTGAAACAAATAAAACATCTAGCCCTTGTGATTCTCATCAGAGGCTTAAAAATCTTAATTGAGCCCTATATCACTCTCCTTCCAAAGAAGCCCAGCAAGCTTCAAACACTAGAGGAAGAAGCATCAGGCAAAGTTACAGAGCTAATAACTAGTGGGAAAGGGGAAGAAAAGGAAAATGGAGAAGTGAGTTTCCACATATATTAAATGAGATAACAATTGTACTCAATAAATGCTAGGTGTTTTGGTATTATTGTCATTGTATATAAGGTAGGAATACAACTTATTTTCAGGGTTATTGGGAGCATATAAGGAGAGAACATTTATAAAGCAACTAGGCACAGTGCTGAGCTCATAAGAGGTGGTGTTTGATAAATGGTAGCTACCATTATTCTGATGGAAGGAGCAGATCTAGGAATGGAGCCAAGGAGGTATTTATCCCTCTGGACCTAAGAAATTGTTTAGTAAAAAATGCTATGAACCTTGAACTAAAGTGAATATTGTGAAGTCTGTGAATATACTACAAAACCACTGAATTGTATACACTAAATGAGTGAATTGTGTGGTATGTGTATTATATCTCAATAAAGCTGTTAAAAAATATCGTGAGCCAAATCTTAATGTTGTCTGTATTCCCTTTATTAGTATAATGCCTAGCACAGAGCAAACACTCATTACATTTGTGTTGAAATAAACTGAAAAGGATAAAATTAATGCAGCAGGGCAAGAAAGAGAGCTCCTCTTTACCTTGCCCCTAGATCTTTTCCTTCCCCAGGAAAGATGCTGTATTTCATTTAATGTTTACAATAACTCTGTGGAGTAAGGCACAGGAATCCCTTCTTTTAGATACCAGTCATGGTTAGTACATGGATCCTTGGAACCTCCAGTTCATTCTCCACTTCGGGCAAATAAAACTCAGAGATATGTTTGCCAAAGCCATTTTGATCTCTTAATAGTGTCCCTATCAGAAATCTGACCTAGGCTTTTTTGAATCAATAATCACCATTTGATCAATCATGTTTCAGTCACTTTCATTTCAAATGTAAACTAGTCTCATATCATACCCTATAAATCAAAAACATAAACAAACTCTGACTCAACCTAAGGGATTAAAGACCAAGTCAAAACAACAGTTATGTGCAAGTAGTTACCTACAAATGACTCACCATTGACCATAATAAAGAGGATTTTCCCACCACTCCCAAATTGAAATTGAAAGATGCTAGGAGTGGCTCTCCAGCCTGAGTAACAACTTTAAGTTTTCCTTAGAGCACTTAGGCTCCATAAAGTACCATTTTTTTCTCTCAGGACTAATTTCAGTCTTATTTACTCATGTCATTTACTTGTTAGGTAGACTATGTTCCTTGTTTTTACTCATGGAAACGTGGTCACTGCCACCCTGCACCACAGACAACAACCATGGGTTCCCACATCGATGACCCACACTGTCCTCAGCTCCATAATCTGTGCAAAGTGGCTCAACACTACAAAGAAGTGAGAGCAAGAAACTGAAAAGTCATGATTTCTCCAAGAAAGCCACAAGAACTACTTGCAATATGTCACCAAGGCATCAACATAGGCAGTGGATGAAATGATAAGTGGCTTAAGTTGTAGAAGTCATCTTATACCATCCTTAGGAAGGATGGAAAGGGGCAAAATATACCATTTCTGGCCTTCACTTTTTTTTTTTTTTTTTAAAGATTTTATTTATTTTATTTTTTCCCCCCAAAGCCCCAGCAGATAGTTGTATGTCATAGCTACACATCCTTCTAGTTGCGGCATGTGGGACTCGGCCTCAGGATGGACGGAGAAGCGGTGCCTCGATGCGCACCCGGGATCCGAACCCGGGCCGCCAGCATTGCAGCGCGCGCACTTAACCACCAAGCCACAGGGCCGGCCCTGGCCTTCACTTTTTAACTTTCTAAAACTTAAGAAAGATTGACCTTTGATGAATGGAGGCCTATAGGCAATTTATCTGAGTAAAAGGGCACGTAAATCCAAACACCTACAATGAGGAGGTTAGTGTTGGACAACAGGCACTAATGCCGAATGAGAAAAAGAAATTTGACAAAGGATCTATAGTTTATTTTCTAGAGGGATAGGTAATTTATAAGTAAGTTTTCTTAAGAAAAAAGCTCAACTTATTCTGTAATTTCCTAAAAACAAAACAGGTCCAATTGAGGCAAGATGCTCAACGATATCTATCTAGTCTTGATGCATGTCACTCATCAAGAGATGGAGAGATTTGAGAAAATATTTCCCTAAAGCAGTGGTTCTCAAACTTCAATGTGTAGAATTCCCTGGCAAGTATGTTAAAAAGTAGATACTTTAACTCCTCCCACATCCTGAAGAATGGGGCCCGAGAATATGAATTTTGATGAACATCCTAAGTGATTCCGATGCACAGGTCCTTTCATTCTTATGCACCCCACTTTAAGAAACACTAATCTCTAAGAAGGCAATGAAATAAATGTGTTGCCTTAATGTTATGATGTGGATATAATTATGAAAAAATTTTAAAGCCTGGTTAGTTGTGTTTTTAAAAAATAACACAAAGGAGATTACTTCTCTTCTTTTGATCTTTCTTGTGAAAAAAACCACTGTATAATATGACTGAACACATGAACATCACAAAAAGCAGAGCATGTGGGGCACTGAGTAAGCATTAGTTCATTCAAAGGAAATTTACTATAAATTTGTTTTCTCTTAATCTCTAACCTCAGTGGCCTCACCAAACCTAACAGTAAAGAAAATTTTCAAAATATTATTTAAAAGAATCCCAGCCCCAATACAAGGACTAAAGGAACGTTGATTCAGATTATCTAAAGAGTATTTCACTGGAAATCAAATAAACACAGTCCAAAAAATTACACATAGATGACTGAAGAAGCACACAGTAGTACAAAGAAAATAGTCATTAGGAAAGGTTTCTAGAAGAGACGAGAAATTTTCACAGTAAGAATATTTAATTAAGATATTTCTGTATCTGAAAGGATAGAAAAGTAAATATTAAAAACAAAACATATGCATGTATGATGACAGATATTAACTAGACTTATTGTGGTGATTATTCTGCAATATATACAAATATCAAATCATTATGTTGTACACCTAAAACTAATACAATGTCGTATGCCAATTATACCTCAATTTAAAAAAAAAAAACATACGTGATGTGATGGATGTTAACTAAACTTATTGTGGTAATCATTTCGCAATATACATATGCCAAATCATTATGTGGTACACCTTAAACTAATAAAATGTTATATGACAATTATATCTCAATAAAACTGGAGAAAACACACTAAATAAATATTGCTCAGATTTTTCAGAAGTTGTTATTCAAAACTGATTGCTCAGCAGTGGCATTAAAAGGATGCTAAACTTAGCCTTCTCATGATACTGTGAATATATCAAACATATTCAAATTTTTGAGCCTTTGTGCATCTTGTTCTTTTCCCCTAGAATGTGCTTCATTCTCTTTGACCGTGAACTCAACCCACTCTTCAAAGCTCAGATTAAGCTGCATTTCATTCTTGAAGTCCTCCCTGACTATACTGGGCCTCACTATCCTCCTGCCCCCTGCACTACACATCGAAAAACTTAATCAGAAACACACAACTTAGCATTTAATAATATACCAGAATAAATTATTCATTACTATTTTGCATGTATTAGTTATATTTGCAACTAAATTTTAACTCTTGGTGGATTGGGGCTATGTCTCATGCTTTTTCAATATGCCTCCAGAGCCTCAAACAAAATGTTGGCTGATGAACTTGAAACAACTACTCACCCAATATGTCAACAATAATCAAAAATTAAGGCTAAGGGTAAATACTTGCTCTAACAATGACAGGATTGCTTATTTAAACAAAATATTGAGAACTGAGATATTAAAAAACAAGGGATTCATTGGATAAAAGATGATATAGCTACACAAATGGAATACCACACAGCCGTTAAAAACAATTATATATTGCGAATACAGTGTTGTTTATAGTGACGAATAATTAGAG